TATTATTATTATTATTATTATTATTATTATTATTATTATTATTATTATTATTATTATTATTATTATTATTATTATTATTATTATTATTATAGAAGTAGTATGAGAATGGAAATACACGATATACTAACAAACGTTGGTAAAGAATGTGACTTATCAGAGAAAATGTGAAATTTAGGCTTAATGGACAATTGTCGCTCTATAAAACAACACACATGTAGGATTCCCAGGTTTTAACGAGCAATATACACCTAACAACCATTATATGACACCAATAATGACATTATTGCCATGATTAATTGGCCATATACTACGTCACTCGTTAAATCATTCCAACTCCCCAGTGAGCGCATGTACAATTTCATACCTGTCACTCGTTACAACCAATCTGTAAAGTCGTCACTCTCGTCAACATAACTGTTTATTGTGTTTGCCCACTGCTGCAGGAAATTCACGTACGTGGATAATTACTAGGTTTTAAATTCACTGCTTTGTGAAGGATAAAGCCACGGCCTTGCATATATAGAGTGTTTTTTTTTTCAAACATGCTATTATTCAAATTATTAACTAATATATAAAAATTGGCAGATTTATTTTCTTAAATATATTAGACAGAATTGCAGAAAATTGTTACAATGGTTTCTTGTTAATAAAAATAATGACCTGAACTCATTATTGATTTCATGTGTAATAGGAATAAAAACTGCCGACAACAAAATAGTATCTCGGCTCCGCCTCGTGTGTGCGGTTTAGTAAGTAAAAAAGATCAGTTCATTTTTGGATGGAATATATACTTAGTCGATTGTCATGATCGATATGGCATTGTCTCAAATTCGCACTTCAATCAAGTGACTGTGTTTTGAACTTACAAAGAGCCCACTGAGGCTGTGACGTTTCCTACTCCTTTCAATGTCCGTAGTTCGTCATGTGCTTCCGGAGTTTCCAATGATTTGCGTCGTTTCATTCTCTTTTTCTTCCCCTTTCTTTTCTTCTTATTTGTTTCCACGAGTGTTTCAGGCGTACTTCCCAACGGTGGCAGTAGCCTTTTTCTTGTTCCGTACCCTTTCATCCAATTTGATTTCAATTCTAGCGAATCCTGGTTTGTTCCGCTCGAAGCCTCTTCGTTTCCAGCGGGAGGTGGTATTCCCGGTGACGAACTGCAAGGTACATTCGTTCGGACGTCTTCCCTATGCACCTCGGCGACACTAATTTTTTTTAGCCCATTAATGTTTTTATTTTCGATGCCGTTTTTCGAAACTACAAATATATCGCCGTTGTCAGGTATGGGTGGGGCGTTATCTCTCCTCTGCAGATGCAACGTAACAACGCGATGGTCAGTCGGGCTAACGGTGCTCATGTCCACTCTGAAATGTATGGTTTTCGCACATTTACACGGACACGATCTGAGCAGGTCGTAAAAACCCTGTCGAAAATGTTTATTGAGATAGCCGTATATGACGGGGTTGATAACCGCATTGAGTCGGGTCACCCACGAAACCGTCAAGACGGCATATTGCGAGATGGATGCCGTCGATGCAAACGTCAGATAGAAGATCACCGCCACGTAAGGCCCCCAACACACCAAGAACACGGAAACCATTACGAATAACATTTTCAACAATTTCATCTCCGTCATGATGCGTACGGAGTGTGCGCAGCCGTTTTGGGTCTTTTCAGCGTCTGTATGATGGTCACCTCCGCTGACTTAATCGGAACGCCCGCCATACGAAGCAGTATGCTAGGCAAGTTATCGCTAACGGAATAAACACAGTAAAACTGATCCATAGACCAAGGTAGATTTTCTGCTGAAAGCGAGCGTTCCATACGTCCACGCAAACGCTTCTTTCTGTCCCCGGTATCTTGACAACATCGTACACGAACAGACAGGGCAAGCAGATCAATACTGAATGAACCCATATAAACACAATCATTAGTTTACCCTTGAGAGAAGTTATCTTCTTTTCCAGTGGATATACAACGGAGTAGTACCTGAAGAAAGAAAAAATCGCTGAGTCAAAGAAAAATAATCTGATTAATAATTTTTGACTTTGTGAAATTCTTTCGTTTTTTGAGAGAAAAAAAGTCTGAAAAAACTGATTTTGACGAGATAACTCAAAAATATATATTAGGAATAATTCATAACGAAATGTATTCCCTATGTAACCATAAGTAATTTTCATAATTACCGATTACACGAAAATATATTACGGAAAGAAAAGATAATTCGCTATATTTTCTATCTGAAAGAAGCTGAATGAAGCTGAATGAAATTACAAACTATTCATGTATGAAAAATAACTTTAATACATATGATATTATTTGGTAAAAAATACTGTAAATAATTTCACAATGTCGAAAACAGAATGTCCTTATTGCAGTGTTATTATTTCATTGTTATAATGTCAAAATTTTCACATATGCTTTTATTTTAAATAACGATTAATAAACACAGTCATATATGAAATACGAGTGGAACATATTTTGCTTACAAATCATTTACATTTTCTGAACATCAAAGCATCGATCACAAAAAATGTCATGGCCATTTAAAAAATCAATTCAGCAACTCTACTATAATATAGATACTCAGACTATCTTTGTTCTAACTCCGACATCAAAATGATCAATCAAATGAGTACCATTCAGCGGTTTCTTCACTACAGAGAATGTAGATGTGGTAGCATACGAATAATACTACGCCAGAGATTTTTGACAAAATTTACGCATTCCCACGATTTGGCTACTTGAATGTAAAAACATAAACATTTTAGGAAAACCCTTTTTAGAGCAATTCCGTAGAACACAATGTATTTTTATCAATTTTTGAAACCCAGATTTGTTAAATAATTCAGAATGGGAAGCAATGATAAAAAAAAAAACATACTGTCAAAATGGCCGCCGTTAGGAGAATACTTTTTACTTCACATGCACAATCATTTAGCAGAGCTTTATGGAAAAAAATGCCTCGCATGCCGTTTTTATCACATATCGCGATCGGCTAATTTGAAAAATGTGGTAAAAAGATGCATTCAAGATAGTTGGTTAACATTAAAACAAATTTGATGTTCGCAAATTCAAGACAACAGTCAAAAGTTGGCGAGTACTCTCCCATGTACTGGAGCAAGAAATAGATTTAAGACATATTTAAAATGAATCAAAAATTGAAAAAAAGTCTTAAAGAAGAAGTTTTGCTACCATTGAGATGTAAAATATGAAGGGAATAATACTAGTTGATAATAGTAACTAGAAATGTTATAACAAAGAGGAAATTAATCAATATGTACATCTCTAGTTTGTTGTCTGTGGTGTATTTAAAGTCACGTATTTTCCGAGCGCCATTGAATTTGACAAGAACTGCTAGAGATATATCTGTGAAATACCTAATAATTGGCCAATGAGTCTACACGAACGACCATAAACAAATGTGACTTCCCCCTAAGAGCACATACGTGCCAAGTTTTATAGAAATCTTATGTGTGGTTCTTTAAATATCCGTGGAACCCTAAAATGCACGGATTGTAACCGTGAAATCTGATGCAAAGACTGCCATGGTTACCGAGCTCCTTTCCACGCGCAACTGAAATGGGTCAAACATCGACTTTCATATGTATAATCTGGCTTGTGTTTGTCATGGATTATCACTATATATATTAAAGGAAATGATGTTTTATCATAGATTTATTTGGAATTTGTTGCAAATTGGATAATTTTTATAGACATGAATTTTGTCATTTCCACTGCAAAATGTGATACTGGATAAAAAAAAAGTAAAGTTTGAGCATAACTTGAGCATAAAAGAATAATTACGTAATAGTCAGTATAATCATGTTTGTCCTTATGTGCATGCTGGAATACAACCAATAGACGTAAGATGTCGGAACAAGAATGCCAATACTTATATAATATTTTTAAAAAGCAAATCCACTCAATATATATTTATCCATTCAATAACATGCTCTCAGACTCGTCAGGAAATGAATCGTGCTTGTCTGTAGTATTTATTGCCGTGAAATAAAATCGATTTCCGTCAAGACGTTGAATAAAAAAAAAAAAAAAAAAAAAAAAAAACGGTTCGCCCAAGTTATAACTCGTACATGATGACTGTGTCTAGCCTTGTCGGTAACACGTACGCCGTAAGTTATTATTAAGGAACGGATATATCACATACTCACCTGTCAATGGCTATTGCACTTAACGTGATAATGGAGACGGAAACGAATGTGAAATACAAAAATCGTATCACTTTGCAGCTGACGACGCCAACAACCCACGACCCCCGGTGGAAATTGGACACCGTGTCGAATGGAACGCAGAGGAAACTTGACAACAGATCCGCCATAGCCAAGTTGACGATCAACAGGTGAGTAATTGTTTGGAGGGATGGTTTCCGATAGACGACGGCTATTACTATTACATTACCTATAAATATTAGAAGAGCAAAGAACATGTAGTTTATCAGATAAAATAAACCTCCGATTTATAAACGCGTAATATTAAAAACGAATAGTACAGAATCGATTTCAGAAGGAACTGGAAGTATAGATTTTGTTGCCAGTGCTCCGCTCATCTGTTGACCAGAAATAAATGTGAGCAAAGTCCCATTTTCTCAAATTACAAACACGATTAAAACATATACTAGTATTATATTGATTGGTTGTTTACTGGCTTCTCTTATACTACGAGATGGTACAGTAAACATTCAGAACACACATTACATTTCCCACCACCACGTCATCTCCTGTCAGTGTTCGTGCAATAAATGAGGCACTTCATTCTCTCGACATGCAATCAAGTAACTCCGACAGCAATCGTGTAACTCCGACATCAAAGCGTTTGAACTACCTTCAATCGACGATTAATCATTTTTCTGGAATTTCTGAAATTTTTCGTCGAGATGATTTTTTCACTATTTATTCTCATTAGCCACGTGTCTTGTTATATTATATTAATTTATACTGTACAAGACTGAGTATCTTGTTCCACCCTTAACTTTATTGTGGCGTCTACTACTACGGCTCATCAACTCACGTGGCCAGGGCACGTGCTCTCAAATCGACACAGGAAAAAATTACCGAAATGAATCACGCGACTTAGCACGGGAAGCGTAATTCTGTTTCAAGGTATCATTCTTATTAAATGTGACATTTTGAGTCTTTCAAGTTCATGAGCCATATACATGAACAGGCTCATTTGTTTCACGAGTTTTGCTTCACACAACATCTTTAGTTACCATGGAAATATGACATTATATCTACGTGACGCACGAGTTGCGGTACAAGCCATGAGCGATGTGGCAGCGTATGATTGCCCGCTACGGGCACCTGAAAGCAACTTTATATTAAATTATATTGCAGACTATTCTAACAGTGAATTGTTTTGCTTCAATGAATACGAGATCAATTTAAAAATGCGGACGCTGTGACGTAAGTTGCTATGGCAACGGCTTTGAGTCCAGCTTGTATTTATATCATGGCGTCCAGAACTATTTAAATGAACACATACACGATATATTAAGCGATGGAATGATTGATATCCATTTCATTAATTCTTTTTTTCGATGAAGTGCCGCACAGTGAAATCCAATTAGTAGTGAAAATATCGACGAAAGATAGATTGCAAGTGCCTCGGATAGTTTTGCGAGCATAATATTTATCAGGATCACGATGTTCAGGTAGAATATTACACAAAAGTAAAAAATATTACCATTTTATTTATTTTGATAAACCATGCTACGGGTATGAAGAAAGCAAATTAAAAATATGGGGTAACCGTATTCAGTTCGGAAAAAAATCGATCACAAATATACATTGAAAATAGAATATTTTGTCTCTTTAGGGCATTTTACCATTGTTTCTTGTGGCAAGGATATACTTCAAAATGTGACATTTGGTGAAAACAAAGATACGCTTTTACTGTACGTAGTCCACGGAAACTGCTGCAATTGGACATCATCAGAAAAAAGAATGAGTGAACTAAAATTTGTACATACTATTGACCAATAGTAAAACGATTATTTGCAAACAGATTTTGATACGAAATATTGTCATTGCTTTTTTATGTTAAAACTAGCATTATAACTGAACTATTATCAGCTTTCTAGTGAGTAAAGAACAACGCCATTCTCTTCATTAATATTCATGACAATTAGGAAATTAATTAGGTAACAATATCGTTCTAGTCATATTGTAAAATGAATTGTTACGTAATATCACCGCTGCACAATGGACAAATATTAAAAAATGGCTTTTTCGGGATGATGGTTTTATCTGAATTTTAGGAAACAACCTTCACCGTATTTTCACACGATAATCGTGGTGTCATAGCTGACACGCCGGTTTATGCGGTAAACAGCATGATCTGACACCTAAAGGAATATATACACACCATCGCACTTGTACGTGACATACTGTCGATATGTAAACACAAAAATCAAAACTCACCTATTGTAGAGAGAAACGTACACAGGAATAATATACAAGCACACAGCTGAAAATAGTCCCGACTTGTAGCTATTATTATGTTTTCATAATACCCGAACACGTTTCCCTGAAAGGCAGTATCTTGGCCTGGTTTCGGCGTGGATGTAAATGATACATTGGAAGTTATTGTAGCCATGTTGAAATATCGGCAATATGG